CTGTTTTTTTCAGATCTTATAGTTTACGCAAATGAGCCACGTGGTTTTAAGTTTAGTTTCTGTAAAACGTAAACAAATGTGCGCAAAGCTGCATTAAACACATTATTACTCAGTGTATATTTGAGTCGTCTTCATAGAAAAAAATAAATAAAATTACATTAGCCACCCATATTCACATTCATAATCCACATTCACCAAGACAGGGAGGCGATGCAGGGTGAATTATGCCACGATCTGCCGATGGATCATGGACGCCTGGGCTAAGGGATCAGTCTCAAGTGTCGTCCGTTTGTTTTGTTTAACACGCCTTATAATCCAGTGTACCTTATGTATGAAAACAGAAGAGCAATTTCAACATTCGTGATATTACACCTTATAATCCAGTGCGCCTTATAGTCTGAAAAATACGGTACTCAAATGTGAATGTGAATGAAAGAAACACAACTCCAGGTCGGTTTTTGAGGAGGTAGCAACATTATAACATGTCTTAAAGCTCACAAGAGTCAATTTTGTGTAAAATAGGACCTTTAACTTTGAGCTGGTTAAACTACAACTACACATTTACTTAAATAAACAAATGAAAAAAAAAAAAAAGAGGTAGTAGGTCAAGGGTTCAGTTCTCCAAAGCCAAATACAACATCTAAAACAAAAACAAAACCACCCCTGTTGGATTATTGGTGAGGACTTGCATACACTTCTACATTGCATGAGTTGAAATTGAAAATGATTGTTGCATTTTGATATAAATATATATTATGTCAAAAATAATCTTTCCTAATCCATAAATCCAGTTATTTCCATTTGACACTGTTGTTTTGGTGTGAGGTCGAATAAAGCCGCTGTTGAAAAGTGAAACGAAGCATGGCTGTGTTTGAGCGTAAACATGGTATTTATGTAATCACCGACCATCTCACAAATCACACAGTATGTTTCACAGTCTAACGGACCTCATGACCTGCTGCTGAACCAAAATAACACCGCCATTTTGCTCTGACCTATTTACACTAGCAGAGTGGATTCAAACTGAGGCCTATGTAGAGATTGTAGTACTCAGGAACATTCACTCAGCTGCTTTGACATAACTTTTTGAAAAACATGTGCTTATGTGAGTAGTTTTTGCCTAACTTTTACTTGTACTTGTGAAATATACCGTGGCTGTAAGTGACACGTTTTTCATGGTTTGGGTGTTTCCTGTGACTTATACTCCGGTGCGACTTATATATTAAATTTTTCACACTGAAGCGGTGAGAGGCTCTAGTCTTGTGTGTGAGTATCTGCTGCTCCTGTTCTTCCTGTACCACTGTCACTCAGCTCTACTGCACATGTCTCCTGCAGAAAGAGCCTCTGTCCTGTCTGTATCATGTCAGTCGATCGCACCATTACTTCTGTACCAATTTTAAGAAACTTATAAAGACGACTGAGAAGACTGAACACAAATGCCCCCAAAAAGAAAATCATATTTTGCAGATTACAAACTGCAAGTTGTGAAATCTGCAGCTGAAAACGGTAATCGAGCAGCAGAATGAAAGTTTGGAGTGAGCGAGAAACTTGTGACACTTGATGCACCATGCAGCTTTCCTGAAGTCACTGGATGGATCGATAAAGCCTGAACTTCAGTGACACTGAAACCATCTTGTCAGGATTCAGAAAGACCGGAATAATTCTAACTGGAACTGATGCTGAGTCTGACGACAGTTACACAGAAGAGGAAGCGTCGCTCTGTTTACCTCCAGAGGTCAAGGAGTTGCTGAGAAGTGACACCGAGGATGAAGAATTCAGTGGATTTAGTGATTTGGAGTGAGATGGAGAGTTTGGTAAACTTGTTATGTTCTGTTGTTTATGCTATACTGAAGAACTGTTCACATGTGACGTTAACAGTCTGTTGTTCTCTGTTCTATTGTTATTACTAGAACTTGCTTTTCAAGATGAAATGTCGGCTCCTGGTCTTTGATTTTATGAAATAAATTTCCCCCAAAAAGTGCAACTTATCATCTGGTGCAACTTATATATGTTTTTTTTTTTTCTTCATTATGCATTTTTTGGCTAGTGTGATGTAATGTTTGAAATAAAACTAACCTTGCATCGCATGAACTGTCACATGTTGAGGGACTATTTTCTCATATATCAGTCCGCAGTTTCTATCAGGAAGTACAACTCGCTGCTTTGGTTTTACTTCTAAAATTATTCTATCAACACAGACATTCACATCGACAGTCTGGCGTAATAATAGATTTGATTTGGGTGTTTTGTGGAGTTGGTAAGACTGTTTTAGTGACAGAATAACTATGGCCATTGACATGTACTAGCCTCGCACCAGCGACTTCTGCAAATACAAGGACTGGATGGAGTATTTCAAAAAGTGTCTCCACACGTCTCCAACACTCTGGCTCACTAGGAAATGAGGCTCTATGTCCAAAATTCTGGACTGTCCCTTTAATACTACGCACACACTACATATATATTTGCAGTTCAACGGGAACAGTAAAGTAAAGTCGTAGTAAAAGTACCTTATGCATAAACATAACCTCTGAAACAACTGCTTAGTCCTGGATGGATCTAATTATATAAATACACAACAGCACTAACAAGAAGTTGACATAGAAACAAAACATCTGTATTATATGATATGATATTACTCTTTCTCTCCTCTTCCACTCCTCCACACAGAGCGCATCTTTATCAAACTAAATGAACCTGAGGCAAGAGACATAACCTTTAGAGAGAAGCTAATTAGAGGCACGCTACAACTGTTAGCTTCATTTTCCGCGTACACACTCAGGAGGAAAACTGGGGCAGCTGTGGTGTTGATATAAGAGCAGCTAATCTACTACATATTAAAAGATAATATTGTGTATGAAGTCGATTTGGTGTTGCTTTTTGTCTTGCAGTCTCAACTAAAAGAAGAATAACATTTGCAATTTTAGAGAATTTGATAATCCAACCTTTTTATAACTACTAGAAGTGTAACAATAACCAAAATATCCTGATATCGTATCATCAAGTCTCTCAATAATATCGTGGACCATCACAATCTATCGAATCACAAGTTTCTATGCTTACACTCATTGTTATGGTGCAGCAATAGCTAAAAAAACAGAGGGAACTACATATCCCATGATCCTTTGCTCCATTTTGATGCGAACTACCTGAAGAAATAGCAGTTCTAAGCACTTTTAAATCTTAGTTCTTTGAATTAAGTCTTGTCAAGGCATTTTAAAAGGAAAAAGTAACATATTTTGTTTGCCTCCACAAAATATCGTAACAAATATCGAAATATCGTTAGATTTGGATATTGTTACATCCCTAATTACTACTTATATTGTTTTACTGTCACAGCCGACAGTTTAGTTCTGTTTAATACAAAAATATTCCAGATTAAATGTTTTCTGCATTTGGGAGACACTGAGATATTTGGGATACTACAAATTCAGAATCAAAATATGTTTCGTGAGTTGTATTCATGAATTTCAGTTTCCTGCTACATGGTGCCATTTTGAGGACGTATGTTGGGATGATTGTTAATTACTATGACAACAGTCCTGACTCCTAACTTCTCATCATTATGAAACCCATCATACTGACATCGCCAGTGAACGAAATTTATAAACTAGGAAGGCGAGACTGGAGCAACACAAGGACTTGGAACTGAACCTTCTAGATATGAGGCAAGAGCGCTACACCAACTTAAGCCGGACGTACACTGTGCGATTTTTGGCCCGTTTCTGAGGTGATTTTTCACTTGTGCGAATGTTTTTGGGATTGGGTCGAGTTTTGGCTTAATCTTGTGTCGTGCTTTGTGTTGTAAACATGGGGTAACGAGAACCGATTAGTACCTCATGACCAGGTCCCAATCTGCAATCGTAGGTCACAAGAATATCAGACCTGCTTGAAATCCATTCACCTCTCATGAAAGTTTCGCTCTGTTAAAGTCGTTCGTATACTGTGAGTTTATTGCTTCAAAAAGTGAATTCTGGTTAAGTGGCAGAAGATGGGACAAGATCTCGCAAGACATAATTACCACAAGACTGTGCACACATGAGGAAAATTATCTTATCTTTTCCTTACATTGTTGCCTTGGTTTAACTTTGTTGAGTAACGCCTCTTGAGAAGCTGTGATACCAAAAAAAGCTGCTACAACAATAGCAAAACTGTAAAATTAAATAAAGAAAAACTTGTGAAGCAAAACATTACGAATTGAATGGCATCAAAATCTCATCTTGTCTCGATCTCGTGGACTGAATTTCAACACATGTAGAAACTGTGTCTTGTCCCATCCCTAATGTAGGTCGCAAGAAAATCAAACCTGTTTGAAATGCAGTCGCCGCTCGTGAGGGTTTCGCTCTGCTGAAGTGCGAGAACATGAATCGTGAGCTGTGAGCTTTTAAACCCTGCGATTTGGTCGTACAGTTTGAGTGAAACTATCAAAAATACTGCACAGTGTACGTCCGGCATTAACCAAAAAGCCAAGTAGATTCCTGTTGTCCTGTGCAAATGATGTTGTATTGAGAAAATCAGGTGCACAACCACACAAACCAAACACATTCAAGCAACTACTATTTCCTACAACTAAAATATAATAATTATTAAAGCCCCTGTACCTGATTTTTCCCACGTTTTTGAGCAAAATTTGACTTGCCGCAGTACAGATATAATTTAAAAGCAGCTCTTGAGGTCAAAGATGTCCACTGTGTCTGCCCATTTTATTGTCCAATAATCAGAAAGTATGAAAGTTGTAAGGTAAGTACGGTAATAACTTTGGACCAAACTGTTTTAAATTAACTATTTCTGCGTTTTCATGTTTTTAAGAGAGCGAAAATCAGGTACAGAGTCTTTAATGTCTCCACTATGTTAGAATGGTTTAATATCTAAAAATTATTCGTCAAACTAACTACAACCAATCCAAAAAAAGAATAGAGCAAGTTTATGGAGGGAAAACTAACATCTAATTGGTTAAGAGAGAAAAGTGGGAGGGGCAAGTATTGATTTTATTTCCGTTTTACCCAATCACTGATGACATGGGAGGGGGCTTCTGGGACAGAGGAGTTCCTGATTGGACAGCCCTGAGTGAGAGAGAGGGGATTCGGTGCAAACTCAAACAATTCAGACAGCAAAAAAACAGTTCAACACACAGGTCAAAGGTCATCAAAGAAAGAAGCAAACATTTTATAAGAGGAGAGAAAGAGAGAGAGAGAGAGAGAGAGAAAGAACAAGTGACACAACAATAGCACACAATGCCCGTGGAGACACAACAGAAAGATGCGTGGTACTGTCAAAGGAAGCAGAGGCACTGGAAAATACACTTAGCTGAATTATTATAAGTTTTGTTTATGTATATTTTGATTTTTGGGGAGATTTTAACCATATTTGTTCAATAATTTAAGTAATTCTGCATTTTACGTAGCTGCGTTTCACTGCAAAAAGTCCAAATATTATTACGTTATTACACATTGGGAAATAGCAATGTTCAAGGCGTCCAAAGCGACTTAAATGCACAGTAATTCATCGTCTAAGTACAGCATTGTGATTGCCATGGTAACTGAAAATATTAGATATGAAACGTTAATGGTTAGAATTCGGTTCTATATCAAATAAATTATGAATAGATAATGATACAAATATGATATAACTATTTCTTAACCTTATTTAAATTAGGGGTGTGTAAAAATATCAAAATATCGATATATTGTGTAGTTTAATGTGATGAAAAAGCCTCTGTCCTGCTGCAACTAGCGAAATACTCAGCCAAAAATGATAATCGAGCAGCAGAAAGTAAGTTTGGAGTGAGTGAGAAATTGTGTCATTTAATGTGATGATAAAATTTCTATATCGTGGGCTGCTGTATCGATAGATCGCCACGAGTATTTTTTTGGTATATTTTACTACATTTTTTCGTTACAGAGCTACAGTTTTGTTGCTTGTTTAAAGGAAGGAAACGTGTTTATGCAGCACATTTGACATTTTCACTGTTTTGATGATTAAAATGTTTATGTTTCATATAAACTTTGCACAAGAAGTGGTTTAAAAAAGACTTTTTAATATCACAGACATGATTTTGCCATTAGTTTTTATTGAACCGTATCTAATCAATTTGAAATATATCGTATCGAATCGAAAGTGTACTGTATCGAGATATGTATTGTATCGTGTCAGCAACTTCTTAATGATACCCAGCTCTAATCGTGATACTAAATTTGGAGATACAGTATCGTTCTCATGAGATGTTGTATCGTTATATCGCCAAGAATATTTTTTGGTATCTTTTTGGAATTTTTTTTGTGACTGCACTACAATTTGTTGTTTATTTAGTGGAAGAAAACTTGTTTATGTAATACACTTGACATATTCACTGTTTTGATGAGTAAAATAGATGAAATTTGCACAAAAAGTGGCTTAACAAAAAAATACTGTTGCTAAAATATATTTGGTTATTAAAAAACAGCAAAATATCTGAGAGTATCAATAAGATTATCCCATATATCACCATACCATGAAAATATCGTATTGTATTGCGTATCGTGAGGGACCCTATGATTCCCAGCCCTAATTTAAACAGCCGCACACGCAACTTGGCTTGATTTTAAGGGATATTTACTCATCCCTGTTAAGACTATTGCTTCAAAAAGTGAATTCTGGTTAAATGGCAGAGGATGTTTCTTAGGGATGGGACAAGTTCTCACAAGATATAATTACCACAAGAGTGTGCAGAAATGAGGAAAATTATCTCATGAGATTTTTACTTACATTTTTACATTTGCCTTGGTTTAAATTAGTTGTGTAAAGGCCCGTTCACACCAAGGCGTCAAAGCGTCCAGTTTCAATGTAAAGTCTATGTGGACGCGCGACTAGAGCGTCCTGCGTTTTTGCGGCGCGTTTTCGGCGTCAGCGCGGCGCGAATCTGGCGTCAGCGCGGCGCGTCTTGAGCGTTTTGGCGTCAGCGGCCAAGACGCGCGTCCAAAGCGTCAGCGTCAAGAAGTTGAAAATGCTGAACTTTTCGCGTCAGACGCGCCGCATCAACCAATCAGGGACGAGTATCCAGTGACGCAGCGACGTTATTATCAGGAAGCAAGACCCGAGAACCAGAACGAGAACCACAAACATGAGCGGAGCATAAATATATACGCCACAATCACCGAGCCGATCGCGAGGACTACACTAGACCTGGACCAGGACTCGACCGGGACTAAACAAGGACTAGACCGGGAGTAGACCGAGACTAGACCGAGACTAGACCAGGACTAGACCGGTATTAGACCAGGACTAGACCGGGAGTGTCATTAGCAGGAGTATAAATATATATACGCCCCAGTCGTCGACCCGATCTCCTCCACTGATGTTTTATGTCATAAAAACACTCTCTCAGTCTGGTCTGATATTGTTTCGGGAAAAGAGCGGGACCGAGCTCTTGTTTCCAGGGCAACGGACGCGCGTCAAGTATTTTTGTCCCGTTTGTCCACAGGCGTCAAAGACGCGCGTCGGGGGCGTCTAAACTCAAATGCAAACGCGTCCAAATAGAGGCGTCAAGGCGTTTTTTGACGCTTTGGTGTGAACGCCCCTTAACTCTTCTTGAGAAGCTGTGATACTAAACAATAAACAATAACAACAATATCAAAACTGTAAAATTAAATAAAGCAAAAATTGTGAAGCGAAAATTATAAACTGAATGGCAAATCAAAATCTCATCTTGTCTCAATCTCATGGACTGAATTTCAACACGTCTCGCCTCGAAGAAATTGCGTCTTGTCCCATCCCTAATGTTTGTACAATCTAACAACTTTTTTCTTCTATGTCTACTCTTTTAGTTTTAATTTGCTACTAATGAATCAACTAATCCAAATTTCATAAATAGCCAATAAAGAACGAAATGGTACAGAAACTACAAATATAACAATTAATCATGGCAATCACAAAAGCTTTTAAAAATATATCAACTGGTAATTGTTTTGTCATTTTAAAAACAAACTTAACATTTAAAATCTTCCGCTTCCTTTCACTTGGAAATAATAAAAAGCCAGACACAGAAGTTCACATCAAAACACACAAAGCAGCAGAAGGAAAATGTCTCAAACTTAAAAACAACAATGAGATGTGTGGTGTGCTCCGTTTGTGAAGGACCAACAACCAGCTAATTTAACCAATGAAAATCCACTTTAAATAAGGACAAAATACAGCTTATGTCTATATCTTCAGAATAAAATGGCCTCTGTTGGAATTTTTATGTTACAATTTTGTGCGTTTTGAGATTTTTAAAGTCACAGTGTGGCTGCTAAGTTGTCGAATATTGTAAAATTGTGCGCTGGTTGCTGGTCGCTGTGTTAAATGAGGAGTGACAGAAGCGTACCCGGCCCTCTCCTTCAGTTTCATGTCAGTGATGCCGTCTTTGGACACCAGTTTGTTAAAGACGAGGATCCCGATCACCATGTTAACCTGCAACACAAGACACACAAAGGGTCAAAAAGAAGCAAATAATAAAATCTGGAATGTTCCCGGTTTTGGCATTAAACGTATCTATTCTGTATTTAGTCACTAACATGAGTTTTTATTGACTTGAAAATTGAAAAGTTTATTCTTACTGTGTGTGGGCTCACCTCTCCACAGATCTGACAAATAACTATAAGGATAATGCCATACTGCGGAACATTTCAGGCAACATATCCACGGAGAAAAGCAGGTGACGGACCCTTTAAAGCTGTATTATGTAGCTTTCCTTGTGTAAAGTCCGCCGTGAGCTTGTTTCCATTTAAGTGTTACTGTTTTGCCTGGAATGTTTCACAGTATGGCTTTAAATTTATTCATCTCTATATGGGACAAGGCCAAGCTAAAGGTAAGATCTACAGAGTGGCGACCTTGCTCTAACTTTAAAAAATGTGCATGTTTTTAAGGCTTTTACTTTAGAATGAGGAGAAAAAAAAAAATATCAAATTAATGGCATGGAACATTTCAGGCCGAGCGCTTACATCTTCAAGCAGAAAAGTTACATACTTCAGCTTTAAATAGACCTAAAAACACTCAAAACTTTATGTACTTGTATATTAAAATGTTCACACTGACAGCTGTGAGAGGCTCTAGTCTTGTGTGTCAGTATTAGCTGCTCCTGTTCCTCCTGTACCACTGTCAACTTCACTCTAACTGCGCATTTGTCTTCCTGCAGAAAGAGCCTCTGTCCTGCTTTGAGTATTGAGTAGTGAATAATATTCAGCCGAAAAAGGGTTCAATCAAGCAGCAAGAAAAGAAAGTTTGGAATTGAGCGAGAAACTTAAAGTGAGGGAACTGGCAGAAGTTCAGTTGAGGATTTTGAAAGAACACAGCCTCATGAGAACTGGGAGGATGCACCATGAAACTTTCCTGGAGTCACTGGATGGATCGACAAAGTCTGGACTTCAGTGACACCTTGAAACCATTTTCTGTCGGGATTCAGAAAGGCCGGAATAATTCTAACTGGAACTGATGCTGAGTCTGACGACAGCTACACAGAAGAGGAAGTAGCACTCTGTTTACCTCTGGAGGTCATGGAATTGCTCAGAAATAATGCCGAGGATGAAGAATTGAATGGATTTATTGATTTGGAGTGAGATGGAGAGTTTGGTAAACTTGTTCTGTCCTGTTGTTTACGTTATATTTATCTGAAGAACTGTTCATATGTGACGTTAACAGTCTATTCTATTGTTATTACTGGAACTTGACTTTCAAGATGAAACGTCAGTTCCTGGTCTCTGATTTTATAAAATAAATTTCCCTCAAAGTCTGTTGCAACTTATAGTTTGGTGCGACTTAAATATATTTTTTCTACTGTATATTCCGGGCTATTAGATGCCCTCTTAAGCCTCTAACCCCACCAAAAAACGACCCCCCACAATCCAGAGCGCCCTATACACGAATCCACTCGGGTGTCCCAGCACAACTTCAGTAAACTACAAAGCCGCACCACAGGCGGCGCACGCAAACACACACGGAGCAGACAGCGACCGCACAGCGAAAAACACCCACAGACACACTCATCACTCCACGCCGACGAGGAACGGAACGGAGGAACAAACCGAAAAAGCGAGTGCAATGTGCCACTTGTAGACACAACTGAACAACTGAGTCACTGCGAACACGCCGACAATCCAGTGGTCCCAGACAGCACCCTCCCTACACGCCACAACTGAACAAAGCCCAGAGTCACCGTGAACGAACAAACAAACAAAACCACTCACCCATCACACTGTTGTGTTTCATTTAAAGTCCGGTGCGGTTTATTTGTGAAAAAAGTTCGAAAATAGATCATTCACTGACAGTGCGCCTTATAATCCGGAGCGGCCTATAGTGCGGAAAATACGCTACTTCATTACGCATTTTTTGGCTGGTGCGACTTATACTCCGGAGCGATTTATCGTGCGAAAAATATGGTACTCAAATTCAAAACACAATTCAATAGAGAAAAGAAATGTATGCTGTATTATTATCTTTTTTTGAGTATAACATGACTCTTCCCGATGTATGTTCTGAAAGCCAACAGCCCCATTGTAAAACACGGCGTCAAAGATTTCAAAAGCAATTCAAAGTCTGAATAGCGCCTGATAATTCCCGTTCGCGGCACTTATTTTTTCTATCGAATCTGAAATCACAGACAGTGGGTGGGGGATCCTTTTGGCAATTGGTAAATACTATAATTTGCTTTGAAGAATTCTGCGTCTCTGGAAATGTCTATGGCGCTTCTCGGAGAGGGTTGGCCTACTTGTATGGGCTGCCAAACCAGAACTAAAGCTTTTATTAGTGCAGGCAGCTTGTGAAAAGGGGCCCGGACACACGCTGTTGACTTGTTGTTGCTGTTGGGGAGGATAACATAAGCTAATGGACAAGCTTACGAAACAAGGCGAGTGCTAAGGCCACGCTTTTATCTCTCCATCTCTCCAATTATGAATGAATTTGATCAATCTCGCGATGCATCTTGCGTGTCAGAGATGTGGGTTTTAACAGCAGCTGGAGCAGACTGGGGCCCCTGCCTGGCTTTACGTCTCAACAGACCCAGAAATGATTTATTTAGCAATTATGTAAAACAAAGTCGATTCAAATTATTAATAAGTACAGCTGTGTTGTGATAGAAGACGCCGAGCAGACATCGCTTCACAAAGAGATGTGTTTAGGAAATGACTTTACAGATGTTTAACACTTGGGTGAAGGCACAAACGGAATCTGGAATCTGACTTTGATGGTTTAATCTGGATTTTATTGGTTTTATTTTAATATTAGACCTGGTTTAAAAGGCCCATCTACACTATTTTCTGATTTATATTATAGTGTTTATTCATCACAAACAGATCTAGAGTTGTGTTTTGTTTTATTCACACATGTTGAATGCACAAACCCTGCATATTTAGACTGATTTCTTCTTTCAAACGGAAACACAAACTCTTTTCCACCTTGTGATGTCATCTGGTGATACAGGAAGTGCTCCACTGTGTTTTAAAACTCTATACACCTTCACTAGAATCATTTGGATGATTTCAGACCTGAGATTGACACTCTCTACTGAATAGAAGGTAAAGATTAGCTATTAACTTGAAAGTTTAATCACTTAATGACATCGACATTTTGAGTTTTGGAGATGTAGTCAGACTTATAATAAAGGATTACTCAAACATGCGCGAATGAAACTAAACCAAACACCAGGTATGTAACAGTCCATTGTGTGTAATGCAGGACCTTTAATCCAAGTTTACCCTGGTTCAAACTAACAACAAGGAATAAATGGGTTGAAGTTGGTTTAAAATGATGATGCATATACATAGCTTGTTTCTAAGGCTGCGTTTATATGATGACGGTCTGAACAGAAGACGCAAAAGTGGCGCTGCGTTTTCACTTTTTATTCCGCATTTAGACGAGTCGGGAGTAAATCTGTGTGCATACGGTGACGCAAAAGTGTGTGGAATTGGACTGGGTATGTTTGAACTTAAAGCAACAAGGGCGTCTTTGGACATACGGAAGTTTTCACGTCTCAGCTTCTCCTTCCACAAAGTTGTCCCACTATCGACTGGTTCTCCCTGGTCTCGTCCATATCCGTCTGACTCGCCTGAGACGAACTGGTGCATCCAGAATTTGACAGAAGTGATTGCAGATCCTTCTCCGTTCACTAATAGTGTCTCTGCAGATTCTGTACATTTGTTGGAGGCCTCCTGTAAGTTTATTAGAGCGACATGAAGGTCCGACACATGGAAATGATCCGACATGTTTGTTTCTGTGTACTGTATGTGTGTGATGTAAACACGTATGGGACCTGAGCAGATCTGACCAGAGTTTTGCGTCTTGGGCAGTGTAGATGGAAACACTACGGCAGAGCGTATTCAACTTTTCCACTCTGGAGGGTGGTTTCAGATTTTTGCGTTTTTAATCCCCAAAAATGCCGTCATCATCTAAAAGAAAGGCACTTCCAATAAAATATTTTGTCGTTTATACCTATAAGTGTTCTCGTGTAAACAGGCTCTATGACGATGTTTCTGCGTTGTCTGGAATGTTCCACTGTATGACATTAAACATATCTATCATTTCATTCAGTTTGGCAGACTTTCCACCAGAAAAGTGACATAGTGCACCTTTGTCTACTCAAAATGAATACAGAAATTAATACAGAATCACAGGCATAAATATGTTAAGGTAATCACATCTCCATGTAGAAGTCTGTCTGTGTTTTGTGCTTCAATTTTCACTTAGCCTAATGTTAAACCAGTGGAGATTTTAAGATGTTAGAAGATATCGTTCATTCAAAAACAATCGGATACTACAGTGTAATACAAACATTTCTCAGTAGTGACCAGCAGCTTTTGTATTGTTTGTTTATTGCCAGTGTATCTCTATGGACATTTGGCACTTCTGGACAGTCACAACTTTTATAATATATTGTTTACTGATCTAAAATGTGTTTAAAAAAAAAAAAAGTGCTGTGTGCGAAAAGAAGAGAGGAAATACCAGAACTACAGCTGCTGCAGGTCCCACAAAGGCATAGAGCAGACCTCCTTCCAGAGAGAGCCAGCAGCTGCAGGAGAGAGACGAGATGTGAGGGTCAGAGGACAATAAAAAAAAAAAAAACAAGAGAAAGAATGGGAGCACTGGAAAATCTAAAAAGAAAATGATTAGTTAGAGAGACCGGAAAGTGGTTTAGTAAATGCCATTTGACTTGGTTTTAGGCACGCAGTTGTCAATTAAGGTCGCGTCATCGTAACAAAAGTAGGCTTCTGAATTTGAGTTATTTTTAGTTTCTGTAATGTGCCTTTATGTGTCTGTTTTTCTTGGACAAATATAAAAGTCTTTGAAGGAAGAAATCAGACTATGTTTTGCATTAACTAACCCTTTAAGATTAATTGTCTGTTTCATTTATGTTCATGGCATTATTAATGAAAACATTGTGTGTTATTAGTAAGATACAAATCAGGGGAGGAAAAAAAATTAATTAAGCTCTTAATTAAGATAACCAGTTGTATTAGTTCACTGTTGTCCATTATATTAACTGTAGTCACTTCTCACTGCGTATATATATATATGAGGGGTGTAACAATAACCAAAAATATGATAACGTATCATCAAAAGTCTCACAGTGATATCGTGGACCATCACAGTATATCGAATCACAAGTTTCATTGTGTAAATTCATTGTTATGGTGCAGCAATAGCGAAAAAAAACAAAGGGAACTACATCGACCATGATCCTTTGCTCCATTTTGGTGCAAAATACATGAAGAAACAGCAATTCTAAGCACTTTTACATCTTAGTTTTTGTTTTATTAAGTCTTGTCAATGCATTCTAAGAGGAAAAAGTAGCACAAAATATTGCAATAAATATCATACCGTGAGATGTATATCGTGAAAATGTCGTACCGTGAGATTTGGATATTGTTACAGCCCTAATATATATGTATGTACAGGGAATGAGACAAGATCTCGTGAGACAACATTGTCACAATATGGTGCACACGAGAGAAAAATTATCTTGTGAGATTTGTTTCCCATGTGTTTATTAGTAGATTGGACAAAAGAGGGGTGAAGTGTTGGTGAGTTACATCTTTTATAGTTTTAAAAAGCAGTACTAGAATGGTAACAAAATATTAAATAAAATGAATAAACATAGTGAGGTCAAAATTGGAAACTGTATATACATTGTGTCCCAAAAAAATATGACATAATTTCACAGGCTAATAATTTGGGCAATTCATTTTGAAATAATCTCAAATTTTCAGCAGCTCTCCACCCTGTTATAAGTAGCTCGCCAAAGAATTTCTGAATTAGGTATTATACTGAATAACTCAAATTTGACTAATTACAGTTGTAAATGTGTTATTTAGAATTTTGTACACAAATAAATGGACAGTGGTTTTATCGGCATCTAACTGGAGAACACTAAGGCTTGTCCTCTTATATCCACTCAATTTCTTGCGATCGCTAAAATGAGTAGCTCTCCGGCATTTTTGTTTCCTAAAGGTAACTCGCTGGACACAAAAGGTTGAAAATTCCTGGTGTATGGAAACAGAACAAGATTTTTATACTGTATTTAATGTTTAATTTTTGTTTTGTTTTCAGGTTGAGTCATGCCGTTCCCTCCCAAAGAGAAGCCATTTTGCGTTTTGGAATATGCTCACCCAAGACTGTCTCGCCTTCAGTGCAAAATTTGGAAAACCTTCACCAATTGGCAAACTAATATGGACTTGGTACCAAAACTTTAAAGTGGAAGGTAAAGGTAAAGGATCTCCTAGACCAACATCAACATCATCGTTGAGCTAGACTTACGAGTTTTCAAGAGAATTGTTTTTAAAATTATGTATTAGAAATTCTGTAAAAATCTTGTCTTGTCTCGTTCTTTTAGACTCAGTCTCGTATTTCGTCTCTTATATGTAAACAGAGAAGTAAAATGAGCACCTTGAAAACAGCTTAAACCAACATTTCACAGTTTTTTGTTTTGTTTTTTTCTTTCTGGACAATAGTGGGAGTACATTGTTAAAGCGGAGATAAAGTGCTTACTAGCTGGGTGTCCCATATCCCTTTGCTTTGGTAAATCCCACAGAGATGGCCACCACGAGTGCAGGCAGACCTGGAGGGGAGAGTAAAAATAGTGTTAGCACAGTTAGCGTTAGCACAGGGACGTACACAACAGCTGAAGACAATAGAAGCACACGGCCTGAGTGTTATGTGTACTGTATAAACAGTGTTGGGGAGTAACAGATTACATGTACCGCCGTTACGTAATCAGAGTACAAATTATGAGTAACTGTATTCAGTTACAGTTACTGTTTCAATGAGTGGTAATTGGATTACAGTTACTTTGCTGAAATAAGTGGATTACAAGGCGGTATTTTCCTGTTTTCACATTTTGTGCTACATCCCATTTATTTATTTTTTTATTTCGGTAATTTCACTCATTGGCTGAAACCCAAACAGAACGCGCGCAATAAGAGCGATGTAAACGTCATGTTAAAGTTGGCGGTGTCAGTCACACAGTGGAAGCAGCAGTGCATTGGTAAAAACGCATTTGTGTCTTGGAAATTCTTCTCCCGATGTGAGATATATATAAAAAACAAATATAAAATCACCTACAACTTAAATGTGAAACCGGAGCTACTGGCACTGGTGAAAACAACCTGCATAGACTCATAATATCTGCACTACTGTCCTATAGTGACCTGCGACATGAGTGGACGTGCACACAAACACACACAAAACACACACACACACACACACAAACACACACAAACACACACACAACACAAACACACACAAACACACACAAACACACACAAACACAAACAACACAACACACACAAACACAAACACACACAAACACACACAAACACAAACACACACAAACACACACAAACACAAACACACACAAACACACTTCATCATCGTCATCAACCTGAGAACCCGCGGACCACGTCTCCTTCCGTAGTTACAGCGCGGACACCGACGTCTCGTGCGCCGCGTGTGGACCGTGTTTTCTCGCGTAAACCGCGCTTCCTCCTGTGCGCCTCTAAACCAGAACTAACACCAGGACTAAACCAGGACTAAACCAGGACTAAACCAGGACTAACCCAGGACTAAACCGGGACTAAACCAGGACTAAAGCAGGACTGAACCAGGTTTAAACTAGGACTAAACCACGACTAAACCAGAACTAAAGACCTGGTCTAGACCAGGTCTAAAAATCAGGACAAAACCAGGACTAAACCAGGTCTAAACAACATGACACCTAACAGTAGGTTGACATAATTTAAGGTGATCTCATATAATTTCTCTATCAATAATATTTTTTAATCTGGTGAAGGAAAGGCTGATCTTGTTACTGTCTTTTAACAGACAAAACCTCTTATATTAAGATCTCGTGGTCTTTGTTTCTCTACAGCAAACAGTTGTTTATTCATGGAGACTTGGGCTCAGACAATTTGAAGACAACAAACAAGAATTTTGAGGATGTGGTTGCTACATTCATGTCGTTTAAAAAAACATGACAATATCAAGTAATCCAAAGTAATCAGATTACGTTACTCACTTAAAATAATTTAATGGATTAAGTTACAAAATACATTTTGGGGTGTGTAATCTGTAATCTGTAGGGGATTACATTTTAAAAGTAACCTTCCCAACACTGTGTATATGTTATGTGTAGTACGCAAGAACAAACTCTAGATTTATAGCACTGGATCAAGTATAACGAGTATTTTTCAGGACTGAACCCAACTAACTATCTTAATAATAGTCTTTTTACTCAAGCAGTAAAATACTACTTCTATTAATTGGCTTATAACTAAGTAAAGCTGTAACAGAAGTACTTCTGGCAGTTCTAGTTGCTTTGGTTGTAGTAGTAGTAGCAGTAATCGCAGCAGCAGCAGTAGTAGCAGTAGTAGTAAGGCAAGGCAAGTTTATTTGTATAGCACAATTCGTACACAAAGTAATAAAAAAAAAAAAAAAGCTAGTAGTAGCTGTAGTAGTAGTAGCAGTAGTAGTAGCAAGTAGTAATAGTAAGTAGTAGAAGTAAGTAGTATCGTAGTAGAAGCAGCAGCAGCAGCAGTAGTAGTAGTGGTGGTGGTAGTAGCAACAGTAGTAGTCATAGTTATAGTAGTATTAATAGTAGTAGTAAAAGTTGTAGCAGTAGTAGTAATCGTAGTAGCCGCAGTAGTAGTAGTAGAAATAGTAATATTAGTAGTAGTAGTAGAAATAGTAATATTAGTAGTAGTAGTAGAAATAGTAGTAGTGTAGTAATAGTAGTAGCAATAGTAGTAGTCGCAGTAGTTGTAGTAATAGTAATATTAGGAGTAGTAGTAGTAGTAGTCATAGTAGTAGTAGTAATAGTAGTAATCGCAGTAGTAGTAGTAGTAGTAGTAGTAGTGTAGTAGTAATAGTAGTAGCAATTGTAATAGTTGTAGTAGTTATAGAAGGAGTAGTAACAGTAGTAGTAGTAATAGTAACAGTCGTAGTAGTAGTAATAGTAATAGTCGTAGTAGTGATAATAGTAATAATTGTAGTAGTAGTGATAGTAGTAGTAATAGTAATGTTCGTAGTAGTAGTTGTTGTATTATTGTATTATTGTGAGTGAAGTTGTAAGTAATATTATTTCTACACTGAAAAAGCTTAAATCTCTTTAAATTACATCGTAGATAAATAAGCCGTTAAAAAAGAAAGTCATGAGCTCAGGACAAAATAAAAACTAAAATCAGTTTATCAGAACTAAACAGCAGAACTCACCCCATCCGAGACAGAGGAATCTTTTGCGTATGATCCTGTTCCTCAGTCTCCCCGTCACTGCCATGTAAGACTGCCACGCTTCAGTCAGAACCCAACAGAACGACGACAGGAAGAAGAAATGCAGGAACGCCGCGATCAACGTGCACAAGATCTGCAACAAATCAACAAATACCGTCAAAAAAAACCAACCAGAACCAGAGACGGACGTTCTGATTGGCTGTTACCTTGTTCCGTGTCTGTGTTTGTCCAATCAGGATCAGGGCGTTGGAGGAGATGATGGAAAGGCAGAAGTTTATGAGGATGACTGAGCGCTCGGATCGGATGTACCTGCAGGAAACACATGTACAGAATCATAATTAACACTTTGCAGATGGTGTCGTCAGCTTTGGCTTTGTTAGACTTGAATCTGAGTTTAGTTTTAACACTTTAACTTCTTAGGTTCTTTTTAAAGACAATGCAGTAAAGTGTATTTACCTTGTTGACATGTTTCGGCTGCTAGCTGCAAGCCATCTTCAGAACTGTCACAGGTGTTGGTGGTGACGTGTCGTATATCAGCTGTTGTTACTTCCTGTAGGCGTGGTCAGCCTGATGGACCTGGCAGGTCGCTCAGACTGACCACGCCGTCGCCCGGTGTCTCTGGAGGAGGGTGTCCCAGGTGTGTGAAAGGAGGAACGCGCCGTCATCACGGTTAATGCTGTCCGAGCCTTGTTTCCTGATTTCACTGTCCTCCTTGATCCAGCGTTTGAACTTGTTGTTTTCCGATCCAATGATCCGAGCCACACACCTGGGACACCCTCCTCCAGAGACACCGGGCGACGGGAGGCGTGGTCAGTCTGAGCGACCTGCCAGGTCCATCAGGCCTGACCACGCCTACAGGAAGTAACAACAGCTGATATACGACACGTCACCACCAACACCGGTGACAGTTCTGAAGATGGCTTGCAGCAGATGAAACATGTCAACAAGGTAAATACACTTTACTGCATTGTCTTTAAAAAGAACCTAAGAAGTTAAAGTATATAAGAAGACAAAATGAACATCATTGGCTTAGTTTTAACACAATCTGACCATGAAGAATCGACTTAAATAGAACTAGAACACGTGAAAATAGGTGTCGAATAAAACTGCAGTCACATGTGAGCATTATCCAAAAGTTTTTCATAGTTTTTGGTTGAAAATCAAACCCCTAAATAGGACCATGAACGCTTCTATTGATCACACGCTCCTGAAAATATGGGTTCTCACTCTTCAATGACTTTTCCATGACCTAACGGGAATTTTCCAGCACCTACATGTGTAGAATTGATCAGACCTTTAGGGCTAAATATGAAATGTTAACCCTTTCCACTCACCTTATGGTTTGGTATTATAGTTTTTTAAAATTCAAAATCCTGTCAGTGCATTTATTGTCGTCTCTTTTAAACAAAAAGGCGCAGACGTTCAGAAATAATCATAGTAGCCTAATGAGAACTTAAGAGAACGCTGTGTGAGATACTAAAATTCCATGACATTTCCAAAACTTTCATTGAATTTAAAGCATTTTCAATTTCCATGACCGTGGGAACCCTGTTTAAATCCATTTTTAAATTTTTCTGTGAGTTTTTTTGGCAGTGTTTGCTTATGTGTACATTGTGTCTCCGTGGTAACTGGTGAACATTCTGCCAATACACACACATGCAAACACCCCAAGTGTAACGTCAATTCAAAGTTTTAATAGCCGCAAAATTGTGACTTTGAATTGAATTGTGATTTTTTTCGACAAATATTTCAACTGTGATTCGATGAGATTTATGTAAAAAGTAAAGCTCTGTTCAGATCACATATTTGAAACATGTCCTTGAACATGTTTGCAGACATCTAAAAACTAAATACAGTAGTTAGCAGTTTATTTCCTTATTGAATTGCAATATAGGCGAGTTTCATTGTTGACAAAAGCGCGCGTTGCATGCTGGGAATTATTTTGGTCGGCGGCAAGAACACTAATTCAACATGACGGACGGAGCGAGAAAGCACGTAAAGAGTATTGATCCCGGTTATTTATCCACTCTAACGGCAGAGGACCCAAGACCATTTGACCAGAAATTGGTCATAAGCATCGACAGACGCCAAATCACCCTTTTCAACCCCGACAAAAGGTGGACCAAACCAAATTTCTGGTCAGAATCGCCAACTACCTGGACAAATATTCACTTTGGCGATATCCACAATGACTTGGTGGAAACTCCTGGGCCATTCACAGCAGAAAAGATGAAAACCTCCAAGAGTCTCGATGCGTCGTTGAACTTGTTGGAGTCCATGGTTTGTTAGGATCTTCCACGTTTGCTCTGCGAATGTTTGAAAGCCATTTAATTTGCCGTTAGCGGTTCTTTTCACTCAGAATACGAAAAAGACATTTTCCTTCTTCCGTGCTTCTATTTGTGCATCCGATAATGCAGCAGGAATTTACCATTATCGGGGATAAATACGCGAGGTTACGCACTGTGTTTGACGCTATCGTATTTCTTGCCTCCGACCAAAATATTTCCCAGCATGTGACGCGGGCTTTTAATAACAATAACGTCAGCTGAAACTCACCTACTAAAGGTGAACTATGTAACTTTTTCATTGCTCTGCCTGGAATGTTCCACAGTGTGACATTAAACAGCTCTACCTTCAATTACAGGTGAATTTATAGCTCAAAAATATCTAGAAAAACTGATATTCTGGCTCTGAGCGGAGTTCGCCCCTCCACAGATCTGACCTGTGAAGCATTTGACGGAAGCTCCACCAGAAAAGTTACACAATACTTTAAAATATTCTTAAGTCACTGCTGAAAATCTAACTAAATCTTGTTACATCTTGTCTTCAGAAACTCTTTCTAATTTTTCTTGCTTTGGCATACTGTAATTGAAGGCTAATCTATTCTGAATTTTACTTCCATCGACCGTGGTGAAGGAAAATTATTAGAGCTGTTTAAAATGAATTAACCAAATAATTAAAAGTAACTGATGGATAGAATTTAAGTTTTGACGTCTGTGTTCAGTTTGAAACACTTTTTATTTTAATTATAATCAGGGAAATGTGAAAGGACTAATACATTTATCACAACTCACTTTCAACTCTTACTTAGAAGTTAACAAAATAAAAGTCTGAGTCATTTTTTCAGCTAATTCATGAAGAATATTGAGATATTTTTTATACCTTGATAAGTCGATACACAGCTCACCTCGACATTCAACTCTTATTCTTGTTGTGAATTAAATCGTTCTGTTTATACATAAATGACTCATTACAGACTCAGGGGAATAGCTGAAAAATTAAATCCGCATTCAAAAGTATTTAAAACTTAACGCGCGTAATGTACTTTCAAAGAGGATGTACACGACTTTTATCCATGTCTTGTATAAGCAGCTCTTGAGGTCAGAATGTTTTTTGTGTACTGTACTGTTTATGTTCTGTTAAGTGTTTCATTGTCTGATTTAGTCCTGGCTTTAGACCTATTTTTGATCTGTTTTAGACCTGGTTTATTTCTGGTTTAGACCTGTTTTTAGACCTGTTTTAGACCTGGTTTAGACCTGTTTTTAGACCTGTTTTAGTCCTGTTTTAGACCTGTTTTAATCCTGGTTTATACCTGTTTTAGACCTGTTTTTAGACCTTTTTTAGACCTGTTTTTAGACCTGTTTTAGTCCTGTTTTAGACCTGTTTTTAGACCTGTTTCAGACCCTGTTTTTAGACCTGGTTTAGACCTGTTTTTAGACCTGTTTTTAGACCTGTTTTAGTCCTGTTTTAGACCTGTTTTAGTCCTGGTTTATACCTGTTTTATACCTGTTTTAGACCTGTTTTAGTCCTGGTTTATACCTGTTTTAGACCTGTTTTAGACCTGTTTAGACCTGTTTTAGACCTGTTTTAGACCTGTTTTAGACCTGTTTAGACCTGGTTTAGACCTGGTTTAGACCTGTTTTTAGACCTGGTTTGGTCCTGGTTTGGTCCTGGTTTAATTCTGGTTTAGTTTCGGTTTAGTGGCGCAGCCCACGCGATGTACATGAGGCGGGATGGTCCCTGCGACATACAGGTGGGGGGGGGGGACACGGTCGGACTGCGGCATATGGGAGGAGGGGTTCACGCTTCCAAACGACCCACGGCCTGGTACTGGTCCCTGGCCTGAGGATTGGGGACCCCTGGGCTACAGAGACATTATTTATTTTAAATTGTGTTATTATTTTATTATTGTGCTTGTTTTGGATTCAGTGTTTAAGCAAAATTATTATTAAACATGTATTTTATTAAGAAAAGGTTTAATATTACATATCTCAAAAAAAGAGAAAACATGCAGATGTTGTTGAAATTTTTCAATAAATATTTAGTTTGGCCCACGACTTTTTATTTTTATTTTGGCCCTCTGTGAATTTGAGTTTGACACCCCCGAACTACATTTTCTCGGGCATCCAACTGTTGTAATGGAACACATTTACAACGGATGTCGGGAAAACTGATTTATTCACTACCGACATACAACAGAATGCAGCATAAATTCATCGTGGCAAATTGTTAGGATGCAGGAAGTACGCAGTTAGCATGCGAGTTGTTAACAGCTTCTGAATATTGTAAAATGTGCTTATATACTCATTGTTTATAAGTAGTGAATAATTAGGATGCAGGAAGTACACAGTTAGCATGCAAGTTGTTGACAGCTTCTGAATGTTGTGAAAAGCGTTTATAAACTTACAGTAGTGAATAATTAGGATGCAGGAAGTACGCAGTTAGCATGCCAGTTGTTGACAGCTTCTGAATGTTGTGAAAAGCGTTTATAAACTTACAGTAGTGAATAATTAGGATGCAGGAAGTACGCAGTTAGCATGCCAGTTGTTGACAGCTTCTGAATGTTGTGAAAAGCGCTTATAAACTCATTGTAGTGAAGAATTAGGATGCAGGAAGTATGCAGTTAGCATGCCAGTTGTTGACAGCTTCTGAATGTTGTGAAAAGCGTTTATAAACTTACCATAGTGAATAATTAGGATGCAGGAAGTACGCAGTTAGCATGCGAGTTGTTGATAGCCTCTAAATGTTGTGAAAAGCGCTTATAAACTCATTGTAGTGAAGAATTAGGATGCAGGAAGTACGCAGTTAGCATGCGAGTTGTTGATAGCCTCTAAATGTTGTGAAAAGCGCTTATAAACTCATTGTAGTGAATAATTAGGATGCAGGAAGTACGCAGTTAGCATGCGAGTTGTTGACAGCTTCTGAATGTTGTGAAAAGCGTTTATAAACTTACAGTAGTGAATAATTAGGATGCAGGAAGTACGCAGTTAGCATGCCAGTTGTTGACAGCTTCTGAATGTTGTGAAAAGCGTTTATAAACTTACAGTAGTGAATAATTAGGATGCAGGAAGTACGCAGTTAGCATGCGAGTTGTTGATAGCCTCTAAATGTTGTGAAAAGCGCTTATAAACTCATTGTAGTGAAGAATTAGGATGCAGGAAGTATGCAGTTAGCATGCGAGTTGTCGACAGTTTCTGAATGTTGTGAAAAGCGTTTATAAACTTACAGTAGTGAATAATTAGGATGCAGGAAGTACGCAGTTAGCATGCCAGTTGTTGACAGCTTCTGAATGTTGTGAAAAGCGTTTATAAACTTACCATTGTAGTGAATAATTAGGATGCAGGAAGTACGCAGTTAGCATGCGAGTTGTTGATAGCCTCTAAATGTTGTGAAAAGCGCTTATAAACTCATTGTAGTGAATAATTAGGATGCAGGAAGTACGCAGTTAGCATGCGAGTTGTTGACAGCTTCTGAATGTTGTGAAAAGCGTTTATAAACTTACAGTAGTGAATAATTAGGATGCAGGAAGTACGCAGTTAGCATGCGAGTTGTTGACAGCTTCTGAATGTTGTGAAAAGCGTTTATAAACTTACAGTAGTGAATAATTAGGATGCAGGAAGTACGCAGTTAGCATGCCAGTTGTTGACAGCTTCTGAATGTTGTGAAAAGCGTTTATAAACTCATTGTAGTGATTAATTAAGATACAGGAAGTATGCAGTTAGCATGCGAGTTGTTGACAGTTTCTGAATGTTGTGAAAAGCGTTTATAAACTTACAGTAGTGAATAATTAGGATGCAGGAAGTACGCAGTTAGCATGCCAGTTGTTGACAGCTTCTGAATGTTGTGAAAAGCGCTTATAAACTCATTGTAGTGAAGAATTAGGATGCAGGAAGTATGCAGTTAGCATGCCAGTTGTTGACAGCTTCTGAATGTTGTGAAAAGCGTTTATAAACTTACCATAGTGAATAATTAGGATGCAGGAAGTACGCAGTTAGCATGCGAGTTGTTGATAGCCTCTAAATGTTGTGAAAAGCGTTTATAAACTCATTGTAGTGATTAATTAAGATACAGGAAGTATGCAGTTAGCATGCGAGTTGTTGATAGCTTCTGAATGTTGTGAAAAGCGCTTTATAAACTCATTGTAGTGAATAATTATGATGCTTTGAATGCAGAACATAAGCGAGGAACAACTCTGGACCACTGCAAACTGTTTAAAATGATCTGGCGTTGTTTTTTCATATTTTTCAGACAGCACAAATGAGGTATAGTTCCTTTAAGTGCCTTTGAAAGTACTTTGCATGTTAATCTAATCAAGCACATGTGTGAATTTCAATGTGAGGAGGTCAGTCTCACCTCCACACCGAGACGTAGATGATGATGAGGAGGAGCAGCGTCAGAGAAGACACTCCACAGCCCACGATGAGCGTCACGGAGGGAACCAGCCCGGCTTTATCCATATTCTGAGAGAAAACAAAGCCGAGAGGAAAGGTCAAACACTGGCTCTTTGTGCAAGAAATCGGCGGCAAAGTGCGTCACAGGAAAAAGCCAAGAACCATTTGAGTCAGAGAGTTAACTGGTGGTCTGAATATGATGACGACAGAAAATCATTTCACATGGATTCCAAAAAGGATTCGACATCGCTCATTTTTATTTTGTAAAATGTAGAAAAGTACGTCCTTGAAATGTACAATTTTAGTTGGAATAAAAAGAAAAGTAATACTAACATGCAGTACATTTCATAAAAAAACGTAAATGGTCTTTCTTATTTTTTTACACAGCGCTTTCCAAATTCAAGGCACCCTTTCACACACAAACTCATACATCAGTGTACGCAGAGACTGGTTAAGTGTCTTGCCCAAGGACACAACAACGGCATTCATCTGTGGGAGCTGGAATCACACCGTCAACCTACAAAATACTAAAATACTGTTTTAATCTCATACGTTAGATTTTTTTTTTATTAAGCAATCCTTTTGGGCTGATATAACTTTAAATGTTTATGATTAAGAGTGCAAAAATATTGAAATATTGAAATATCGTACTGCTTAATGTGATGATAAAGTATCGATATTGCGAACTGCTGTATCGATATATCGCCAAGAGTATGTTTTTGGTATATTTTACTCAATTATTTTGTTACAGCTACAGTTCTGAAACTCATTTATGCGACACATTTGACATTTTCACTGTTTTGATGATTAAAATGTTTGTGTTTCATATTCACTTTGCACAAGACGTGGTTTAACAAAGACTTTTAGTATCACAGACAGTTTGTTTGTTTGTTTGTTTGTTTGTTTAGCAACATAACTCAAAAAGTTATGGACCGATTTTGATGAAATTTTCAGGATTTGTTGGAAATGTGAAAAGGAAGAACTGATTTCATTTTGGGGGTGATCCGGAAGAAATCCTGGTTTCTGGATCACTTTGAAATTTTAGTTAACATTGTGGTAAATGGGGCCAAAATTTTGTTTCTCAATATCTCGGTTAATTATTGACCAAACCCCATGAAATTTGACTCAGGGATGGACAATGGGATCCTCTTTCATATTCCAAAGGCTGATCCGGATCTGATCCAGAAGACTGATTTTATCGCAATTTATTTACAGAATTGGGGTAATCCTTCTGCGCTCTCTGAGTGCTTTTCTAGTTTTTACTGAATCATATTGAATCAATTTGAAATATATCGAATCGAAAATGTATCGAGATATGTATTGTATCGTGGCCTGTGCATCGATGTATGTATCGTATCGGCAACTTCTTATTGATACCCAGCTCTATTTACGATACAAGGGGCAATTACTAGAGATGGGACAAATATATACATTTCACAGTTCATTTCCCAATTTTTTATTTGATTTCATATTTTTTGTTTCCATTCTACTACTGCTTTTCAGAACTGTAAGAGATGTAACTCACCAACACATAACTATTTTATTTTTTTTGTCCAATCCAAATGTAAACACAAAAACAAATTTCACAAGATCAGTTTTATCATGTGTACACGATCTTACAGCAATTTTGTCTCACGAGCTCTTGTGCCTCGAGATCTTATCAAATAAGTGTGATTTTGTGAAGCCAATCTATAGTCCAGGTTGTCTTTAAATAGTATAAAAAAGAATATCAGCCGAGTAGAAGCAGTTGTAGTAGCAGCAAGTAGTAATGCTAGTAGTAAATACAGAAAGACAACGATATACTGTATGTACTTTACTTTCACACTTCCATGACCCATGCTTTGGTTTAGCCCCAATTTTGACCTGAGTAGTAGCAGTAGTAGTAGAAGTAATATTTTTCTGGTCACATTACATTACATCATTGTTCACTCCTCACACTCTGGTAATGACAAGCTATTTCTACTGTGGCTGTCATTTTGGATAAGTGTGTAGCAAACACTGTTGGGCAACTTACTTCAAAACTGTAAAGCGTTATTTAATACTTGTTACTGTCATTTCAAAGTAATTAGTTACATTACAGTGTTACTGTATTTAAAAATGTAAAGCATTACACTACTGTTACATTACTTTTAAGTTACTGTGGGGAAGCTGGCCCAAGTGGTCAAAATGAGAGTCCAGTGCAAAGTTGTCCTTCACCAAACCAAATTCTTTATTGGATCCTTCCAAGTCGTGGGCAAAATTATATACATCTTTACAAAAAAGAACTGTGCTTAACTAAACAAAAGCAACAGAAAATAACGCAACAAAAGAAAATACCCACAGGCACCTGGCTGCACTGATGGTGACCACCTCCCTACTGATTAAACTGCCTCTACTTATATACCCCCCAGAGAGGAAGTCCCTCCCCCTGGGTTCACACCAACTTACGGGGAAAACTGTAGCAATTTCCTTTCCTTACTGGTGTGCTGCCTTAAATTATTTTCTGAAGCCTAATCCCCCTTTTAAACTGAACAGTGCTCCAACTTAACTAGATACACTGAAACCAAAATTCTAATAACCCATTTGATAAAACAAAGAGAACCATTTCCGAGGCTTCCCTCCACATGGTCTGGGCCAACACCTCCCCCTGAGCCTATAAATATGGCTGCCAAAGGACACGCCCCCTCTTTTGTTCCCAGACCATGTGGAGTCACAGGTAAAGGTGGTAAGTTTAAACAAAAATGAAGAGATATAACCAAATAAAATGAATTTAAAGTAACTGTGTGAATGTGATCAATTAAACAAAGACTAAATAAAACAAACCCGGGATAGTTATTATTTAGCTGTTTAGTTGATATAGATAGATGTAACTGAACTAAGGTGAAAAATGGGGACAAAGGCCGTCTTTGTCACAGTTACTCTCACCAAAATAACTGCAAATATGGATCTAAATATATATCATAACACTCAATTAACTCATCACAGTGGACAGGGTTCCACTTTAAGCCGTTCCACTCACCTTATGGTTTGGGATTACAGTTTTTTAACTTTCAAAATACTGTCAGTGCAATTATCGCTCTTTAAAAAAAAAAAAAAAAAAGCACAGATATTCAGAAATAATCATAATAGCCAAATGAGAACTTAACAGAACGTTTTAGTTGCGTGAAAGAGATACTAAAATTTAATGACTTTTTTTTTTCAATTACGTTTTTAATTTCCATGACTTTTCGAGGATTTCTGTGACCCTGGTAACCCTGAGTGGAAAATTATGCGATGCTTTTAGCACATTTGTATGAAGAAAAACAAAAAAAACACCACTTCAATCCAGGTTAAAAATGCATTGCAACATGTTACTGACATTTGTTACGAGTAAAATATTACCTTTTTTTCTGTAATTACTGCGTTAAAGCAAAAGTTACAGTAATTTGTTCCTTTTGTAACACATTACTCCCAACACTGGTAGCAAAAGAGCAAAACAGTAGCACAAAAGCAATGCCACAGCAGGAATCCAACCACCAATTTTAAAATCAGCTGTGGAATATTAACAATTTCTGTCTAGATTTTGAAAAACAAATGTATTTAGAAAAGGTCAATTTTGTTTTTTTGTGCAAGAAGTCAGTACCCAACAGTAACCATCACACACGAGGCAGCTCCGGGTCGTTTGTATCAATACATAGGAAGAGAAAATCACAGAAACGGTATAAGTCAAAGGGAAGAAAAGCTGAGAAAAAAAAAACCAAAACATGCATTTCTTAGTCCAGACTGGAACCACATCAGAAGAATACAGAAGGACTGTTCCCTGTGGCTACGAGCTCACCTCCAAACTGGGTCATGCCTGGTTCAAATCCACAGCTGCACTTTCTCTTTCAGACGCTTTAAAGGGTCAATACTGAAGCACAGGGACAACTTTTCACTTTCACAACGTTTAACCTCCACTTACACTGGAAATAAATAGATTGGGCCAAAAACATACTTTCTAGTTTTACTGAAGGATGGCACTGAGAACTAGTATTTTTAAGAGCCCATATTATGCTATTTACTAAAGCAGACTTGGAGAAACTTATCCATGCGTTTGTCTCCAGTAGGTTAGACTACTGTAATGTTCTGCTCACTGGTCTCTCCAAACGAGCTGTGAGACAGCTGCAGAACATCCAGAACATCCAGAACGCTGCAGCTCGGGTCCTTACTCGAACTAGGAAGTACGAGCACATAAGTCCTGTGCTCAGGTCTCTGCACTGGCTTCCTGTGCCTCAGAGAATAGACTTTAAAGCAGCTCTGCTTGTACAAGTGTCTCCATGGCCGAGCACCAAAGTCCATCTGTGACATGTTAGTGTCATATGAACCATCTCACACTCTGAGGAGCTCAGGGACCGGCCTCCTGCTGGTGCCCAGAGTCACGACTAAACAAGGGGAGTCAGAGTTTCAGGTTCATGCAGCTAAAACCTGGAACAGTCTGAACATGTGAGACAGACTCTTCTGTGACGCTGTTTAAATCCAGACTCAAAACATTTCTGTTTAACTGTGCAAATAACTGAAAGGTTTTCATTCCGCACTCTTCTCTCCAATTTATGTCTCTCTTTTTTAAAATTTTAATCTTCATGATTATTTATGTTTTGATTTGTTTTTATTATGATTTTAATGTATTTCTTATTCTGTAAAGCACTTTGAATTACTTTGTGTACGAATTGTGCTATACAAATAAACTTGCCTTGCCTTGCCTATTTTCTGATTTATGTTATAATGTTTCCTCAGCAAAAGCAGACCTGGAGTTGTGTTTGTTTCATTCACACATTTTTAACACAAAAACCCTGCATATTTAGGCTGACAAAATACTCTGTTCCACCTTGTGATGTCATGTGGTAATACAGGAGGTGCCCTAGAAACTGTGTTTTTAAACTTCAATCTTAAACTCGAATCATTTGGCTAATTTCTTCTCTAGAATTGCCCATCTCTACTGTTCAAAAGGTAAGAGTTAGGTCCCATCCACACTACTGCGTATTCGAGACGTTTTTGTTGCGGATGCAGAGTTTGTTCACACTAATCCGATGGAAAACAGCTCCAGAGACGGAACGATCTGCTGCCGCCAGCTT